GAATCCTATATAGTATCTAGCAAGAATATATAAAAATATATTCTACAGAAATATGCAATGGATGTTTTCATTGGTAATTTTATAGCACTGAAAAACTGAATTCCCAACAGTTTTAAAAATGAAATTACTTTAATTGTACATCTATTTAATGAAATAATATGTCCATCTTAAAATGATTTCATAACAGCAAAAAACAAAAACAAAACTCATAGCATGTAGTTAAACTAAATGAGATATTAAAATATTTAGGCCCAAGATGGAACTGCCTTGCCTGCTGTGCCATGTCAGAAAACTAGCCTTTCAACCTTTCGTGTTTCTGTAAATGCTCAGCTTGACCAGAAACACAATAGATCTAGTCAGCCAATCCCCAGATGCCAAGCCAAGTCTGAGCTCTACACTTACTTCCTTTCTCCTTGGTTGTCAGATACGCAACCCAGTCAGTCACACCCTCTCTCCATGTTGCTGCTTTCAACATTCCATTGAACTGGATTTTGCCCAAAATCTCACAGGAAGCTTGCTCCACTATCTGTGCGGTGCTATACTCCCCATATCCATGGGCTGTTTACCCTTGAGTTAAAGACATCAAAGTCATTACTGAGCTGTATTATTTTTATCATTTCATAGAGGCTACAAAGTAATGTATAGTTTGTCCCAGTTTGTGCTTATTTTTTCAATCATAAAGAGAATAAATATCTTTATATTTGAGAAGAAAATAAAAATAACACATACAGCACTTCATGTTATTAGACAAAATTATAAGTACTCTACATAAGGACTCTTAATCCTCACAATAAATCTACGTGGTAAGGGATATTAGTATTCCCATTTTCCATAGGAGGAAACTAAGGCACATGGTTGTGTAAGCAAAGGGTGGGAATGAGATATAAATTCTTACTATCTCGCACCGGAGCCACTTCTAGTTTTTTATTTTTTACAGCTTTCGAAAAAAGGATGAGAAAATGTGTAACTTCCATGTACGAGATAAAAGTTCCTGTCTCTAACCAGATGTGCCTGGTCCAGATAGTGTAAGCTCCTACTGTGGAAACTGCTTTGAGTCAAATGGACCCATCTTGTCTCTCCCTGTTCTGTTGAGACTAGTAGGTGAAAATTAAACAAACTGACTCAGCTATTTGGTGACCGAAGAAAAAGGAGCCATCAGTCGATGTGACAACAGGTTCCCAACCTGCAGCCTTCTATCTGGAGACTTTTGCTCATCAGTAGTGGACAAACTGATGGACTTGAGAATCACCCAAAAGATTTCACAACAAAAAACTTCAACTTGTACCATTCCTCTGCCTGATCCTTTCAAGCTCCCCTCCTCCCCACCTGAATGTTACACATTTTGGGGCTACTCCTTGGCTGTGGATCTGAGTCATGATTCTTATGCTTGCACAAACACCGTTGTGATTATATTACAGTCTGGTTATTTCTCTTATAGTCTAACGCTGCAGTCACAGCACCCAGAGCACAATATAGTCAAAGCTGGAGAAGATACAAGGGACCATTGAAAAGCATTAGAGATTAACAAGGGCTTCCCACTAAACACAGACTAACACAATTGTGCCTTTATTTGAAAAACAAAGGCCACTATCAGTGAAAATTAATGTGTTTATTTAGACTCTTGAGTGAAAGTTACAAAAGTAGTTCAGTCTACTTCGAACTGTTCCATGGAACAGATGGGGAGCAGTATATATGTCCAGTACAGAATGAGAGCTTGGAACTAGAGTCTGGAAATATGGAATTTCCTGCCCCATTTCCTGTCCTGAGAAGCTTCAAGAACTGAGACTTGTCAGGACTCCCTGAGTTTAATGCTCATCAAACTTAATCATTCTATAATATGTTTTGACTTGCGTTTTGTGGGTGAAATCGGGTGAGAAATGGAACATGTATATGGAGGAGGTGAGGCAGGCGATGTGCACACCTACATAGACTTTTGTCCACCCTTCTAGTTCACATGAAGTGTTGTGTTGTTTGTGGTCTTCATAAGCATGGGATTTCAGTAAACCCATGATGTTCGTGAGTTCAAGTAGACTCAAAGCATGTTCTGTCTAAAACTGAGTAAGCATAAGTACTGACAACCTGGGTAGATGATGTTTTCCTAGAGAAAGAAATGACAGTATATAAAACATGCATGACCGAGGAATTCTATTCTATCCTATCATACTTAAATCATTTCTCGGTATTATTATTGTATTATTTCCCAATCACTCACACTGAAAATGGTGACATAAAAGGGAAGGGATGAATCTGTCATTCTTAACCTTTTAGTCTTCTTTACTAAACACTAAGCTGAAGATAGAGAATGTGCACATATCAAGAAGTGAAATAAGAACTTTTGAGTGTTCTTACTGTTCACTAGATAAAACATGTATGAACTACAAAATATAACTGTGTCATTTTAGTGAATATTACATGTGATCTAAATGTTCTCAAATTTTCATTTAATATTGCCATTGCATGTTGATATGTGAATTATATCTCAATTAAAAAAAAGGAAAATGAGGCACTACAAATTACCAAAGCAAGGGTCAGGCTTTCCTCTTACAGTTTTCTCAAAAAAGTTTTTTTTTTTTGTATTTTCTCACAATCTAATTATAGACATAATTGCTCATTGTAGAAAACAGGGAAGTATTAAATGGGACTTTTAAAAATCAATGTCTCACCTAGTAAACAAATCAGAATTTGTTTTAGAACTAAAAAGAAAAATAATCATAACAAGCTATTTTTAGTTTGGCAACAAATCAGTTTAAGTCACACCCTCCATCTCATCCGAACGATCAAAAAAAGAAAAAATGGCAGTGCACAAAATAAATGGTGACGTTTATGCTAATAATTAACAAGTCTGAGTTTTATTTATTTACAAAGACATGAAATAGCATATAAAACACACCATGACAGGTTGAAAGAGATCATGGACTAAAGGAAGGAGCTTTTTATTAGAACCTTAAAGGTACTTTTGTTAGGGGGAAAGGATGTCCTGAGGTAATTCCATGCAGACTTTGTGGACTCCACCCCCACTCCAGACCAAAGCCATCAAGACACTGGGAAAGACAAATCCTGTCACCACCAAAGGGAAGGTGGCAGGGACCTGAGGGTGGAGTTAAGCAGCCAGGGTTGGTATAAAAACCAGACACATGGGCCTTGGGGGGCTCGCTCTCTCGCTCGCCTCCTGGCTTCATGGCTCCTGGCTTGCAGCAGCTCTCAGAGTGCCGTTTGGGATTCCAGATCCGCGGATTGGGTAGGACGCATTTAAAACTTTGTCTCCCACTTTTCTCCCTGAGTTGTACATTTCCTCATTTGCCCTTCCCTTGTAAATAAATCTTTTATTAACCTTTCGTGTGTGCCTACAGTAGAGTATTGATAAGTCCTTTTAAGTGCGCGACTGAGAACCCACAGTCAGGCACCCCATTTTATATCGGGGCTGCCCTATAACACTTTCTCCCTGCTTTTTGAACAAGAGTCCCAGATTTCACTGTGCCAATGGACTGGACCTTTCAAATTATGTGGTTGACCCTGCTCTCATCTTTGCTTTTTTTTTTTTTTTGAAACATCAGCTTCCTCTTGTCTTCCTGGGGACTGTATTTTGTCAACGAAGTTGATATAACAGTGTGTGGTCTCTCATTCTTCTAACATTTAGCACACAAAAGTAACCTTGCCTCTCAAGCTTCAAATTCCCAGGAAAAAGAATCTGACTGGCCTAGTTTGTACCAAGTGAATTGGTCAGAGGCAAGGTCACATGGTACAAACATGGCTTTAGGACTCTCTCTCCTGTGGAGAAATGGAAGTTCCCAGAGAAAAGAAGTTGCTGAGTCAGGCAAGCACCCCAAATTTTGTCTGGAATAGTCCTTCAGAGTAGTCTAGAATTGGGGAGGATAGCCTTTGGGCTAGGTCTCTCTTTCCCTCTTCTACCAAGGGCCAGGGCCAGATAGGCACTCAGGTTGGATTGTCAGCATTAGCCTTCCCAGTAGCTGGTGGAATGTGTCCCTCAGGGCTGAAGTGGTGGCAGAATCTAAGCAGGACACCACAGCATCCATCATGTATAATGGAATTTCATCCTGGCCATGATCCCCTCATCTCCTCCCTTTCCTTCCTGGCAGCAAGCCACTAACCTTAGTGCCAGTCCTCCATGGGATGGTCCTGGGACTCCATAGGGGACTTCTGTGAGTCCCTTGAGCAATTATTTTTTATAATTGCTTTTTGGGGAGAACTTAATCCCAAGAACCTTGAAAACAACCCATATTTTAAGAACACAGATAAAAGATACTTCTTCCAGAGGTCTTCCAAGTGGGCCCTTTTGTATTACAAATTGAGTCATTTCTGGGCATTTCTTGCAGCCTTAGAAATTCAATAGCCAATTGTTTCCACAGAGTACAAAGTTCAAAAGAGAAGGTAACAAGACAGAAAAGAGAAAGAAAGGTCACTGAAAGACTGTTCACTCTTTCATAGATAATCTGAATGAAGAGAAAACTGTGCTCTAAGTGGCACCAGTGATTTTATCTTGCTCCACCTTTGTCTTGGCTATTCAGGGAGCACATTTTATTTGGATTTAAATTGTCCTTTATATTCTTAAACCTTCTCCACCAAATCAATTAATAATCAATAACATTTATGAGGCATTCCTCTATATAAGGTAGTGTATAATACACTCTGAAAAGACGATATTTAATGAACCTTATCATGGTGATGTACACACCATTTGGGAAATTATGTTTATATGATTCCTTCTGAGTTATTCTTAACCCACTAATGTCAAAATAACTCATAGGGAAAATTATGTTCAATTAATAACCATATTCAATGGGTTGTACCCAAGAGTGGATCTTTGTGAACACCTTTCTGGATAAAATTTTATTCCACAGATCTGAGATATAGAATATTATGTAATAATTATCTACAAATATATTCATGGCTGAAAGCTTTCTTGAGTTTACCCAGAAAGAAAGTACATCATAATTACTAGGTTTCTCTTTGGCAATTAAATCAAATAACTTTGAACTTGCCTTCTAAAAACATAGAGGAACACTCCCATGCCATGGCAGAATATCTTCTTATCACAGGGAGGTTGCACGCTTCTGAAAATATTTTAACATTCTCCAATTCTCCCAAGTTGTTCAAAACCTATATGACAACACAAAAGAATCTGAATGTTATGTCAATGATCAATGTCTCAAAAGAAATCTTACAACATGAATATTATAAGGGGAAAAATCTACAAACCATTTATTGAGCCTCATATAAAATAACACACCACAAACAGTTGCTCTGATTCATGCCTCAAGCCTGTTCTGCTCAAGCAGGCTCTCAAGATCCAACAAGTCATCTGGTGACTCAGGCAGCTGCTGCACAGAAAACAAAATGCTCCATCCAACCCGTGTTTCTAAAGTATTTACTGGGTGTAGCCCCTTCTGATCCAGCTGAATCCTTTTTTGCAAGGCATGCAACAAAAAATTCAATCAACAAAGCAAAACAAGTCTGTAGCATTCCAGAAGGATTCCCTAATCTAAATATAAAATATGCAAGTTACAACTAAACTGGCAAATCACAAATCAACACAGGATGGTTTGTGATAGACCAAGACAATGCAGAAGAAGAAAGCTGACAAACTGAATTGAATTTGGTACAGTTTCATCAGTTATTTACACATGAAAAAATCAGAACATTAAAGATATTGTAAATTGTGAGTTTGGAAATGCGGTATCAACTCAATAACAATCTGCCTAAATAAACTTTATGCATCATTAAGGTTATTAAGAAATTATAGTCTGTGGTCGATAGTCTGGCATCTTAAAGAATAGTAACTCAAATTATTTTTATCATTATGTAACTAACTTGTATTCATTTTTTCACCATTAGATATGTTCATACAGGCAAACACAGATGGAATTCCTAAAAACTCAGGGCTAAAGAGAATTATGAATCATGAGACAGTGGCAATACATTTTAATTTCTATAGTACTTTTTTTTGTTGTTGTTGCTTGATTTCTGTAGCATTTAATTTCTTAGCCTGGGAAACTTTTGTATTTAAAGTAAGTACTGCTTGAGCTTTTCACGAAGATGGCGCCGAAAGCAAAGAAGGAAGCCCCTGCCCCTCCCAAAGCCGAGGCCAAGGCAAAAGCTTTGAAGGCCAAGAAAGCAGTGCTGAAAGGCGTCTACAGCCATAAGAAAAAGAAGATCCGCACTTCACCCACTTTTCGGAGGCCCAAGACATTGCGACTCTGAAGGCAACCCAAATATCCGCAGAAGAGCGCTCCCAGGAGAAACAAGCTTGACCACTATGCCATCATCAAGTTCCCTCTTACCACTGAGTCAGCCATGAAGAAAATAGAAGACAACAACACACTTGTGTTCATTGTGGATGTCAAGGCCAACAAGCACCAGATCAAACAGGCTGTGAAGCTCTATGACATTGATATGGCAAAGGTCAATACCCTGATCAGACCTGATGGAGAAAAGAAGGCTTATATTCGAGTGATTCCTGACTATGATGCTTTGGATGTTGCCAACAAAATTGGGATCATCTAAACTGACTCCAGCTGGCTAATTCTAAATACAATTTTTCACCATATTTAAAAAAAATAAAGTAAGTAAGTACTGCTTGAATGGCAATTATTAAATTGAGAGGAAGAGAGGCTACAAGAAAATAACAACCACAAAAAGAAGCTTAATTTCTTATTATTTCAAATACTATGTGGTTTCTTAATTATATTTATATTGGGGCTTGTTAATGGCATTGTTTTGAAGAAATTTCCTATCTCATCCACTTTTATTTTGAAAATTAAAAAAACTACTGTAATGTCCAAAAAATAGTGCAATGAACAGCTATATTCTTTAACTAAAATTCACCACTTTTTAACATTTTGTCGCATTTGCTTCAACTACCTGTGCAGTTATACACAATTACATACAAATATAAGTCTGGACTATTTCAATTTGTTTTGTTGATTAACTTCTTTGTTCTATACTTAACAACAAAAAAATTAATCTAACTAGTCATAATTTTATTTTTGTGTAGATGGAGTGGGAGGGTCATCTAAGAACAAGGGTATCTTTCATGTAACAAATCACAATATAATGATCATATTGAAATTTACCATCACTTTTGTAATACTATTTAATGTATATTCTGTACTTGAGTTTCCTCATTTGTTACAAAAATGCCTTATAAGTGTTTTTCTCTAATCCAAGTTCCAAATAAGATTTGTACATTGCATCTGGTTACCCTTCTTTAGCTTTTAATCTAGAACAATTTACCTGCCTTAAAAAATGTTTTACAATAATGATGTTTTCCCCCAAGAATATTGAACAGCGTCCTACATTCTGTACTTATCTATTCGTTTCTTCATTATTGGATTTAAGTTAATCAAGTTTGGCAAATATAGTTATGTTGCCTTCAAAACAGTATTTAAAATCAACTCTTAAATTTTCTTTGCTTTGTATTATAGCTTCCCCAAAATACTGGTGTATCAGATCTATAAACCAGTATGGATTTAAAAAACCATTCTATATAATAAACAATCCAGGCCTGCTAGCAAAAACAACATATGTTTCTTTAGCATGTTTTATTTTTTAAGAACAAGGCATGTGTCTTGCAGGCTTTCATTGTTCGTGATACCAACAAATGCTCATGTAGTGGGAATGTTTACACACTTTACAGACCTGTACCTTAGTGAGACTACAAAATTGTTGAGGATATAATGTTAAAACTATATATCAAGAAAAGAACTCTACAAATAAATGAATGTGTTAGCTTATGACATTTTAATCTTAAGCAATTTTTCTTAATTATTAAAATTGCTATATAAGAACATTTGAGGTATTAGTCTTCACAATTAAACCTGCAGAGTAAGCATGATTCCCCATGATTTCCCCCCCAATCTTATAATTATCCATGAAACTAAGTTCTAAAATGGAGAGATTTTATTTTCCAACAATCAATGAACTGGTCTAAACATCAGTAGAACCGGGTTCTTACCATCATAAATATTGTTATTATTATTGAGTCACATTTACTGAAGTACCACAGGATTCACTCATCTAGTTAGATCACTGGGTATGATTGAAATCTTAAACACCACCTTTTTTTTTTTTTTTAAAAAAAAAAAAAGAGATCTAATTGGCTTTATTAAACAATTATGTTTAGGCAGCCTCTTATCTAGATACTGCATTAAACAATACCTTTGTGGTTGTGATCTCACCATTTGTGACTTCACTTTAGATATCCACTTACAGAAATAACCCTCAACTCATGAGACTGAAAGAAATTTCAAAAGGGCCTTGTATATATTTATCATCAGGTAGGTCAAAACTCCTACTTAACAATTGAAAATCTACTCAATTAGTAATAATACTTTGCACAGGGATCTCCCATCACCTTTGGGTAAAATGTTCCATTGTCAAGATATTTTGTATTTAACTTAAAGTCTTTCTATAGGGTAGAACAATAGTTGCCCTTCAGTTAAAAGTGCTTCTCAAGTTTGGGTCTCAGCTCAGGGCAGCAGGCAGAATAAGCAACACTTCTCTAGCCTTTCCTCATGGATCTTGTTTCCCAAACCTTTAATCATTTTTATGACTTTCTTTTTAAACTCTCTCCAAGTTCTCCGTCTTCTTTTAGATACAAAGCCTAGAATTAAATATAGTATTTGAAAGGATATGATTAGTACCAAATTTAGAGAACAATTATTGCACAGTTCTTATGTTCTGTGCACTAAGACTTGTTCATTGTTTTCAAAAATTTTCAGACTTACATTAAAAAAAGTTTCCTAGTAGTGGTCTTGAATATTTTATTGTCATGTTTTAAAATTCTTTTGACCATGGTCCACTTTAGTGGGACAAAATATCTCAAAGCTCAACTAGTCTCACTTTTAGTGAAAAAGCTATTAAAAACTGCAGAAGCAGAATATGGCAAGAATAATTCATAGTTGAACCACAATGCTTTCAAGTCTTCAGGTCTAGTTATTGCAAACTTATAGGCCCCAGAATACCTGATGTGAATTTACTTTAATGCTGTCTCTAGAGTTAACCCAAACCATGCGCAGGAACAGCACTGGTTCTGATGAAGTTACTCTAAAGTATTTTATATTTGAAAGGAAGATGAGCAGAGATTTTAAATCACAATAAACTCAAAGTAATCTGGAAAATTGTGGCAATTCCAGCCATTGGCAAGTGTATTTTTGCAAGGGGAGCTTTTGCATTATTGTCACTCACTTCATAGAATGCAAAGTTTCAGGTGGCTAACAGGATTTTCCTAGGTAAACTCTAGTACTATGTTAATTTGCCTTTCTGGTGATATTAGCGGAGCTGTCACTTGTTGATTTGCTTACTATGTGCCCATTAGTCTACTAGGCCCTCTGAAGACATTTTCTCCTTGGAATCCTACCAACTTTCTGAGGACATATCATGATTTTAATTTAATTTATATTTACTTTATGCTGAATTTTAATTCCTGAACCATAATTTTATATTTCTTCTGGGATACATTTATCTTCTGTGCAATTTTTTTCTGGTTTGGGATCAATCTACTCATTTTCAGCCCACACCTTATGAATGTGGCAGAGAGAGCTCATGGGTCTGCATCTTGGGGGCTTTGTCAGTCTGGCTGTGTTCAATGATCAGAGGCTTTACATTTAAAGCCTTTAAGTTCAGCATTACTCTCTGCATTTCTAAATATGTGAAGTGAAAATTCAGCACTTTTTGGGTCACTGATCCTGCATCGGTGCAGGATGTCCACTGAAGTGGGCACACCCAACAACAACTCCACCAATCTAACAATCAGATAAGCATGCCCTTGATGGCCTGAGCAGTTTCATACCTGTTCTTAAACACAAAGATTTGAACTTCTTGGTTTGCATGATTTTGTAAGGTTTTCTGAGTCAAGTGAATAGAGAACCATTTTCAGAGCTCACCTAAGGATGCTTAGAGGAAGAAGAGGGATATATTATTATCATAATTAATAGATGGGTAAATTGAGGCCCAAAGTCACATAGTTAGCGAATGGTGGACTCATACCCAAGTGTTTCTGCTCCAGGATAATTGCTATATTATACCTGCCTTATGAATAGTCTATCTCAGAAATCTAATAACTTACTGAAAGTAGAACTAGTTTTAAAATGAAGCTCTCCAAAGGTAAATAGCATTAATATGTAAAATCAGAAGAAAGACCAGCATTTTGAGATGAGTTCATGACCCAGGGAGAATCCTTTAAAAAAAATCACTGTGCTAGAGCACTTAGAATGATCTAGAATTCGATGTAATGACAAGGCATGGCAGGGATGCAAATCCCTCTTCCCTTTTCTAGAGGTCTGTGTTTGGCAGCATTCCCTCCTGTTAACTCTGGCCATGTGACTAAGTTGTCGCTTGTGGCATGTGAGCTGGTGTGACACTCACCCTACAACAGCCCATGCACAGACCTCCAAGCACCTCTCCTCTGGCTGACAGGGATGGCCAAACCCAGAGTGACCTTGGGATTCAACTGTTGAAGTCACTATCAGCCTACATCCTTAAATGACCTCAGGAAGACTCATGTTAGGTCCCTCCTCTGCTCCCCTGAAACCTGGAATTCACAAGTGAATGAGAATAAAACAAACTCTTTAAGCCACTGTAACTGGTGTCTATCTTTGGAGGAAGTTTGGCCCACTCTCTGTTATATACATATACGCAAGGTCAGAGGTCAGTACACAAATGAAGTGAATAAAGCAAGTTGCAAAACAATTTATAGAACATGATTCATTTTGATTTGCAAAAGTGAGCAAATCTGGAGGAATGGACACCCAAATATTCATAGTCACTAGCTTTGGAAAGAATTACAGGGAAGTTTTCCATTTCTACAGAATATAAATTTAGAATGTTTAATTCTAAAACATAAGTATGTTTCATTTGTAAGAAGAAAAAAGTCACAATTAAAAATGTTGCCTTTGCCTTCACCTTGAAGGAGTCAGATGACACCTTTGTGATAGTATTTTATAAGAAACTTGCAACAAATACATTAATTTCTCTTCAGAACTCTGATTAAAAACTTTAAAGGACGATAGATCATCCTTCATATATAAAATTAATACATTCTGAAAATAATATCAATGAGACATCCTCCTATTTATCTGCCCTATTTTTTCAATGTCATTCAAAATGAAATTAAAGAGACATGTGCCAGGGAGAAAGATGGAAGTCTTTAAGTGAGCAAGCTCCCCTATTAACATACTCACCTTCTAAAGCACATGTTCTATGAAAAAATTTAATTAAAATATTAACATTCATCTAAGCCATGGACATTAATATTTAGAACCCTATTTAAATGAGGTCGGGAGTCTGGAAAGAGTGCCCAGGCATGTATAAATCAACCAACTGCAGGACCCAGATGCCTTGCATCACCCAGGAGAAATGATACTGTTCCCCCTCCCCTGGAACTCAGGGGAGGCCCTCCAGAGGCTACTTAGGAGACTGTTAGTTTTGGATTCAGGAATTACATGTGGGTCTCACCATGAAATCACTCCACTCTGCCCTCTCTTCTTTCGTTTTTCCCAAACAAACCCTATTTGTTGTTGCAATCAGTTGATTGCTTTTGTCTGTGGTCAACAAGATTCGTTCCAATGCAGTCAGTCTGGTAGTTATTTTTACATTTAGAAAATTATTCGAGACTTTAAAGGAAACACCATCATTTAAACATAATAAAATGAAGTTTCTGTTAAAACTCTTTCTCCAAGTCATAGAACTAGTAATATGTACCTTGGTATGGGCAAATCTGTGCATCCTGAAGAATTAGAGGTACATCTGTCTTTTAAAAAATGGTATTTTGGGGCCTCACCTGGTGGCGCAGCAGTTGAGCCCTGGGTTGCGAGGCTGCCCACAGCCAGCCTCCGTAGCGCCAGTTTGATCCCCGGCCACCGGGGAGGGTCCCACACACAAAAAAAAATGGTATTTTGTTGTCATCAGAAAAATAAAACAAAGATACAAAAACATACAGTAGGTGAGAAATCGAATTGAGCAGTAAAAAAAGAACATTTCTTAAAAATCATCATACATATTACATATTTAATGATGTCCCTGAATTTTAATGCTGTAAATCACATTTACAGAAACCTTAGGGGTTTTCCTCAAAGAAAAGACAAAATATATTCCATTTATTTTAAGCCTATCTGAATCTCATTTTCAAGCTTATTTTTAGGATTCAGCCAGGGAAACTGGTCTTTCTTTCCAACTCAGCTCTGCCCCATTCAACCTCCTACAGAGAATCTGCTCTTTGTCCACTCACCTTCTCTCAATACTCCCTCCACACCCACCCCCAGGAAGTCCTGTTTTCCTGTGTTAAAAACCATCTGTGATGGTAAATCTAAGAATGAGTGGTACAAGAGCTAGCAGAGGAGAAAGGAATTTTTCTAAGCTAAATGTGTTTACATAATAAAGAACTAAGAGGAAAAAAAGAAAGTGAGAAAAAAAAAGGAGGCAGGGAGGAGGGACTGGAGGGAGGCAGGACAGAGCCATGGGGTGGGGTGTTGAGGGGAGGAAGTTTGTCTTTTTTCCTTTATGGGGGGGGATGTGTGATTGGTGGGGCTTTGGAGCCATTTGCAGTGGTGGAAAATCATGTGAAAAGTAAAGAGGATTAAAGAATTATTGCTGGTATTTATGCACTGGGTGACCTTTGATGTTTTAGGACCTGAGTGAGGTTAAAAGGCTGGAATTCACTTTCAAAAGTGATGTTGACTGAAGGATGCTTCTTTGGAAGTGGCTCTGGGGACCAAAAGCAGTATCCATCCATAAACTCAGCAGGAAGGTCCTACTCATGGGAGACCTTGCTCTGATCTACTCCAGTTGTAGTCTCTAGGTAAGGGGAGGGGGTAATGGGCAACATCCATGCCTCCTCCTTCTAGGTCTTGCTCCAAACACTCAGGGTCAGGGACCCCAGTTTTTTGTCTAAATAACATTAGGTTTATTTATAGGGCCTTTGGATCTTTGGATCCCTCTTCTCGAGAATAGATTGCGTAGCCAGGGGTGTGGCCAGGGCCATGACAGGCCATGTATGGCACAGAGCTTTGATGGACTTTACAAACCTTTCACTGCCTGGGAAGAGGACGGTAAGGGGGCTCCTTCTCTGTAATGACCAATGAGATAAAGAACATGAAATTAAAGCCTGGCCTTCCAGTTCACCATAAAGGTATAGTCATCTAGGCAGAAAGATTGAACAGAATTTAGTTAGCAAGTACTATTTGATCTATATTGAAACATTTACTCCTTCCTATGTGGGCCTTCACTTGTACTCATGCCTAGACCCACAGATAACAGGGGCAGCAGCTGGTTCAATTGCAAAGATCACAGCTCTCCAGGATACATGAGGATTACACTGCTAACAAGGCACTAAAGAAAGTTCCACTACTACTTTTCTGATATACTTCATCTACATAAAAATCCAATTTGATTGAGTCAGATCGACAGATTTGGGTTCAAAGTCCACTGCCACACCCTTACCTGCTTGACCCTGGTCAAACTTTTTAATTTTTCTAAACCTCATCTGGAAACTGGTCAAGCCAGGATTAAAGAGGAATGTTCTGAAGTGCATTTGGCGTTGAGCCTGGTACATACATAGCAGGTAGTACATGAAAGTGGTGCACAAGATGATTGTAAATTCACAAGTTCTATCCCACATCACCACTCACATTTTAGTCCAGAGAATGTAGAATCATCGTGTTGAAAAAATATGAAGTCATCTTGTAGAGCATGATACAGGAAGCCCCTGCTTTTTTGTGTTTGGCCACTCTCTTTTTGGAAAAACCTACATCAGTACCTGTTTTTGCTAACTGCAAAAAATGCAGAAAGGATTTTTTATTTTATGGCCAAGGGTGAAAAACAAAAATTGTATCCATAGTTTGTTCTGTGTAGCTGTCAGCTGCAAACTCTGAGCAGGAGGGTGTAAGGCTGGGCTTCATACAGGGACTCCTTATATGTGCTGGCACTTTATTGTGTCATTCCTGCTCTTACTACATGTTAGTATATTGTAAATTTTGTGTGGTGTGAGTCGGTAGGTTATTTTTTGGGCCTTGAAACCCTCAAAAATTTTCATATAAATGAATGATAATTGTTTCTTCACTTTACACCATTTCAACTTAGAAATTGGTTCACAGAAAATCTATACTTTCAGATAGCAGGGGTAACCTGTATTTAGGAGAACGACCTTCTGGAGTTAATCAGACCCAAGTTCTGGTTTTTCTTTCATTTCCTATCAGGTGTATAATGAGCGCAAATGGCTGAACCTCTTCAAGATGCAGTATCCTCAATTGTAAAATTACAGTAATAAAGTAAGTAACTCATTGCACTTTTATTTATTTATTCATTAGAGATTTATTTATTTATTTGTTTGTTTGTTTATACATACAAGCACTGGGTACAGTCAGAAGAGAGGGAGGGTGAGAGAATTCACCAAAGCCAGAGCTGGGAGCAGAGCAGGCAGAATGACCGAAGTACACTGCTGAGGGGAGCAGTGGGCGGCAGGAGAGGTCTGCGCGCCATGTGGGACCCTCCTATGGTGGCCGGGGAGCAGCCGGGGATCGAACTGGCGCCGCGGAGGCTGCGGGCAGCTTCGCAACCCAGCGCTCAACCGCTGCGCCGCCAGGGAGGCCCTCATTGCACTTTTATAAGAATTAAATGTGGAAAAAATGTTTGCCACACAGGAAGTTGATTATCTTCAAATGTTATATTCCAAACATACTTAGTTCCAGTCAATATATTATTCTATTGAATTTCACCCAATAGACAATTTCTCTAATGTACTGGGATAATTTGAACTTAGATACGATCTCAAATGAAAATCAAATTTATATATAATTATTTGGTTCATTTAGAGTTATTTGCTTATTTTTTTTTGAAATTGCTATCATGATTTATTTTTAACTGCAGAGCTGTATTAGCTTCAGTTTTGATTCCATTTATATTGCTGATAGATGCTTATCTTTCATACATGGACCTTCAATAAGAAGATTGTCATCACCCAAATGAAATTATAAAATACCATGTTGTTTCTGGTACTTCTTAGAAGTCTGACGAGTTAAGCTAACAATAAATCATAATAACTGTTATTGTGCTAAATATTTATGCTAATAAATAACATATATGTGAAGTCAAACTAAAAGGGGATGGAGGATCTGAGAAAGAACTGTATGTGCTCACTGAAGTTTCTGGAGTTTTACTTGACATGTCTTCCTTTCTTCCTGGGGAGCACTTTATGAAGAATAGTGAGCCTAGGCTCATTCTAGGGACACATGAGACACAGAAGTTGGCTCTGCCCATAGCAATTTTGCCCAAGCAGCAGACTCCAAGTCCAAGGGACCACAGCCAGGCGAGCACAGGCTGCCGCCACATTTGGATTATGACTAGTACAGTTTGGACAGATAAAGTGCCAGCGGCTCAAATTCACTTTTCCTTTTCTCCTTCCTCTTCCAAGGGGACTATTTAATAGTCTGTTTACACATCTAGCATTTGCTTACTCTAATAATAGTTCCTGGGCCTGAATCATCCTGCGTCACTGTGCTCACGTAGAGTCTTCAGCTGTTTCCATGACTTGTGTGGTTGGCTCTCAACACTATCTAGAAACCTCTAAGAATGTGCAGGGTAATCAGTGATTTTAATTTTAACCATCCATGACGTGAGGGGTCATCTATTTATCTCTATTGACCTGTTTTCAAAGTACATGGTGTTAAGGATGAAGGAAATTTGGGAGAAAACATTACTAATGAATCCCTAATGAAATACTATTTGTAGGTACATAGGAATGTATTTTAAATATAGATATGTAGAATGTGTATTGCTACTACACATGTCCCAATTTTCTGACATAATTGAGATAAGTCCCTGTGTAGGTTAAAACTTCTACTCCATAGGCTTTTGGGTGCTGGGAGTATTTAGTTTCTTGATCTGTGCGTTAGTTACATGAATGTATTAAGTTTATGAAAATCTGTGAACCAAAAACTTACTATGTGTGTTCTTTTATAATCATTTCAATATTAATTAATATTAAGATTAATTTAGAATGTGTCATGGCATTATCTTGTTTCTCAATAAAAATAACTATACAGTTTTAGGTATTATACAAAATAAAACTATGTACGATATGAAGATATGTGCACATGTTTGTGTATAACTGGGTGTTCACCATAATCTATTTTTAACTTTTTCCTGGGTGTCATTATAGAAATTTCCCAGTCTTCCTTGTAGTTAGGTTTAGTCAAGCTACTAAATTCACAAAATAGATTATGATTTAGAGTAGATAATAGGTTTTTGACAGTGGTTATATCTCCGCCACTTTCTCTTTCTCCTGTCTACCAACTGAAAGCTAGATTTGACAGTGACCCATCTCTAACCTATTGATAATGACAACCCCATAGAGCCAGCGGAGCAATGACTGGAATGAATGCAAGTGCTTGAATGACCATATGAAGCAGAAGTCCCTAGCAGCCTGGAATGACCACCTTAATATTTTCAAAAAACAGACTGGCATGAACCAGGTAGCTTTAAGGAGACGATGTTACATTATTTCAAAGTAGCTTAAGAAATTTGAGTATGTACCACTATTCTACAAATACTTTATATCTGAAGATTTTCTTACTCTATCTTAGAGGATTTTTCTGGTTTATTTCTAATTCTACATGGCTGCCTGACGATGCACTCTGAAGGGACAGATGACTTTTAATGTTAATGTTTATTGTTTTTGATGGGTCAAGCAGAGTACTAAGCAAGTCTTGTGTCTCATCTCATACAGTCCACAAAATATATGAGGTAGACACTAATATTAAACTCATGTCAGCCCTTCCAACACCCCTATGCGGTGGTTACTATTATAAGATACATTTCACAAATAAGGAATCTTCCCAAGGACACATAGCAAGCAGGTGGATAGAACCAAGTTTGAATTTAGATTTTGTTTGCACTGTAGCTTTGCATTCCTTTTTTTTTTTTTTTTTTGTGGGACCCTTGCCGGTGTCGGGGGATGGAGCTGGCGCTGGGGGATGGAGCTGGCGCTGCAGGCAGCCTCGCAACCCAGCACTCAACCGCTGCGCCACCAGGGGAGGCCCCTTTTAAGTTTTTTGTTCTTTGTTTTTTTTTTTTTTAAAGCTTTGCATTCTTAACCACACTACTGTTTCTATAAAGAGACAGGAAGGAAAGGCTCTCTACAGCAGGGCCTCAAGAAAGGAAACCTCCAATCATAGAAGCATATTAATCTCGACCAACTTCTTCACTGTTCAGATTGGGAAGCTGAGTCATAGCTCTGTGTCACCTGCTTAATTGCAGAGCCAGAATGTGGAACCAGGGCTTCCAGACTCAAAGCCAGTTTTCCACTTGTCTCTATATTTGTAGACATTTCAATGGTGGTGGTAGAAAGTGTATCTATCAACAGGAGAATGTAACACTTCTATTGTTGGTGAAAGACACAAAGGTTTTCTTCCGAAGCAGCCAATTTCTTATCTCTGCCTTTCTTTTTAAAATTTAACTCTGTGGCTCTTTGAATAAGAATGTCATGTCTGAAATTATTACTGAGATATACACCACTCATTTTAAATTTCATTTATAAAATGTCTAAATGTATGATGCAGACATAAAATGTTTGACTAAGAGCAAGCTGTTGCCATGGTACTGAGACAGCATTCACAGTGCACAAGCATCTTCCTAATATAGTTTTTCTAATAAAAATAGAAAGCTGAAAAAGCAGCGAATATAAGGAGGGTGACAGAAATGAAAAAGTTGAACATTCTTCATCGTGTTTTTTTCTGTTTTTGATACCATTACCTTCACTCCTGTGAATATTCTAACAGTCATCACATATGTCATTTAACAGTCATTCCACAGGTATTTGGGGAGGAGAAGTGAAGGGGTAAAGTAAAAGGAAGTCTCCTATGACTCTCTGGCTCCAGGACAGGTTTTACACTCTTACCACTTGTGGTGGGACTTACATTTCAGGAAATGACAGCCATGACAGCAACAGGCTCAGAAATGTATGTATCTGTAGATATCTAAATCTAAAGACAGGTTCATTTATATAAAACATATATATTTAACAGGTTTTATGTGGATTTTTGCCACTTTTCACCACCTTTTTCATCCTTAGAAATTCTTTTTCCTATCTTCCTCAATGGTTTGAAATCCTTTGAACAGGCTCATCTAGCCAAAACACATATATTGTGAAAGAACTGCTTTCAGTTGTGTGTCTCCTTTTTTCTCTTGCAAAATTAAGCCATCTGTTTATCAAGTAAAAATTATCAAAAATTTAGCAATATAATGAGATTTAAACATTTCTCATCACACAAGAAAATCTGTAACTATGTGTGATGATGGATGCTAACTAGGCTTACTGGGGTGATAATTTCATAATATATACAAACATCAAATCATTGTTATACACCTGACTGATATATAATATAACATGTCAATTACATCTCAATTTTTAAAAAGAAAGAAATAAGATTCTATGGGCTTTTCATAATTAATTGTTGGAACAAATTGTATAGGAAAGTCTCCAACATATATGAAAAAAAATTAGTGATACAAAAATTGCAAAATATCAGTGCTGTGGTTCTGGTGATAATAAGCAAAAAATTGTTAGTTGACCAACAAGCAATAATATAAGCAATATACAGACACTTAAGCACTTGTCCCCTGATATTATTGTTCACCAATATTTAGCAGCCACTCTATATTTACAGATGACGTTATGTGTTGGATTAATAAAATTGGGGTTGTTAAAACTCCAGCATGTTGCAACACTCTGGTAGCCATCTGCTCCATCTAATAAATCCAAGAATGATTATGATGTCATCAACAGCCAATCAGAGTCTGTAGCAAGTAGTCACTTCACTAAATAACCTTTCAGTGAGTCAGGTGTGTACTTATCAGTGCCTGAAGAGAGATGAATGAAACAATCTTGTTTGAAGAGCTCACAGCAAATTTCCAGTGTGAACCACACTGATGATATAGGCCAATTAAAAAAAATGAAGAAATATTTAAGTAGTCTGTATAAACTTATGAAATTATTATTTTCCTTATCCTTTAAAAATATGAAAAAATATTTCTAAATCCCCATTATTATACTCCTGGACTCCTGGGGGAAACACTTGTTATATTACAAATTTCATGAATGTTTCAATATGTAAAATTTCTATTCTCAGTATTATGAGTTGCCTATAGTTTTTAAAATGTCTTCCCTGAGTCGTACTATATACAATTGACCCTTGAACAAGCCTGGGTTAGGGGTGTCAACCTCTGCACAGCTGAAAAGCTACGTGTAACTGTTGACTCACCAAAATTTTTT